AATAATAAAAGTCATAAAAGCATTGTTTTTCTATAAATAACTTAGTTTGATTTGATACACATATAATTTAATAGGGTAATATTTTTTATTTTGAAACTTAGTGGATAACAATTGTAAAAAATGAGTGAAAACAATCCCGCGGACAACGCGATGGATTTAAGGTTATGTCAAGGTACGTCTCTTGTGAATATCAATTGATTGTTAGGTTTTCTTTTTTCTAATTGCCATTTATATTTCACCAAATGCAGCCATGAGGGATATTAAATTATTTATTGCAAAATCTTTATTGCAACTATCCACTGCAGGTTCACAAGCTCTGACAGACGTTACTGGTGAAGAAATTGATTATTGTGAGCGGCATGTGATTCTTGCAGGAGATTTTAATGTGAATTTCTCGTTACTTGAAGCTGAAGCATTATTAACCTTCCTTAAAGACAAATTTGAATGGAAATGATAAATGGTAGGAATGATCCAACAACCAAAGGGGTAACTACCAGTGATGCAGTTTTTGCAAGAAATAATGAAAAAATAGAACTCAAACATTTCGTATCTTACTTTAGTTCTCATAATCCCATTGTAAATGTTACAGATTTGGATATTTCTCCATTCGAAAATGATGATTAAAAGATGCAATCAATTGTGAATTGTAAGCAATGTTAATAAAGTTTGTCTTAAATAAACAATATGATTTCACTAAAAATCAATTTCTACCCCTTCCTATTTTCATTTCCACATTACGAAGTTTCACTTCTTCCGCGTGTAGGGACTCAACGCACTATTTTTTCTACTGTTATTTCCATTCCATTTCGAGTAAACCTATCCTGGCAAACATCAATTCTCACACAATCACAGCCTATATTCTTTTACGAAGATTTTCTTACAAAGATTCTTTCACAAAGATTTCAATTCAACCGCTATATATTTACACATAGCCTTAACACAAAGACAGACACGAAACCATGTAGAACAAAAGCAAACTTCTTATGCATCGAAGTTGCCAGGCACGCGAAACAAAAATATATCACAGTTACAATAAAAAAACATAAACAAATAATAAATCTGAGTTAAGTGAAATAAGTAGACTAGAAGGAATTATATTTCAACAAATTCGTTGTGCTATACGGCACATCGTTATTTAATTAAACGTTAATTAACATTTTAAGTTATGGTGAGACACTTAGCTCAACTTTATTACTCCATATTGCTGATAAAGATTAGATGGTGCTGACATCATGGGTCACATGCAGGGATATTTTTTTTTAAATTTTATAACCGTCGTTGAACAGCTGACCCAATTTTATGGAATTGCGACTACTAATGTTCAACTCCGTAGCATTGTAATTTTGAACAATCCAGAAGACAAGGAAACTCCTGGATCGAGTATTGGGAGAAATTTGCCTTCGTGGATGACATTATGATGGAACTAACCCGCGTATGCGTTACATGAGGAGGAGGACCACGAGAACCTCCCATGTTTAGAATAACGGCAAGGTGACCTTAACCTATAATCCGTCTACCACTGACGATATTTCACGCCAGCATTGTGGTCAGTGCAAGCCGGATGTGGGGTTCGAATTGACTGGGATTCGAACCCGGTTCGCCGCATTGGAAGGCGATTGCTCTATCCCCTGAGCCATCTTGGCTCATGCGTGGGTATTGGCTGTCTTCTTCTACTTGGTGTGCAAGTACTCAATTGATGTTTGTCTTGCTGTCGTCCATGGGATAGATTGATTTTCGATTCCAGCCAATATACGTTTCTTAAAATGACCCGAAACTATTTTTCATTGTTTGTATTTATACTAATATTAAAATCATGTCAAACTAGTCTAATTATGAATTAGTAAATGATAAAAAGAACAAAAAAATACTTAAAATGCGCGCTGATGAGAATGAAAAGAAAAAACTCAGTGTGAAAAACAATCAACTCCAAGAAGATCCAAAATAATATATTTTTTTAAAAATTTGATCTTGTGCTGCTTTTATGTAAATATTTAGTTAAACTGATTTCTAATGAGTCTCACTATGTTTGTGGTGTAGAAATGTCTAGGCTGATGCCACTTACCTTTCCAATAAAAATTAATCAATTTTACATCCAACAAATAGGAATATGTTTCTATGCGGATAAGAATATGAATTGCCCAATAAGAATAGTGCAAACGGAAATTAGTTCAATGATAATGAAACACTGAAGATGTTCAGCCTCTGACTTGGACATTTCTGTTAGAGTTAATCAAGTCGATGAAGTTGATCTATTGGCAAAACGAGCGGACATGAAAACCATGAAACTACAACCATTATTGAACTGGGTAGAAAAAGGAAAAAAAAAACTGACTAAACATTTTCAGACATTAATTAGATGAAGGGTGAAATAGTGTAATCAAAAATCAGTTTATTTTACGAAGAGGAAATGTACTTAAGGAAAATGAAATTTTCTCAGTTTAATCCTAAATAAAAAGTAAATTTTGATTACTTTGATATTACACTTGAAATGATTTTTCTTAACAATGATTCGTCGTATTTGAATGATGTTATTTTTCTCAAAATTAATTATATCTTTAACACATACATTTGTCGTTCTTAAGTTTTAATAATGGTTCTTATTAAGGGATTATAACAGAACATCATGTAAAAATGTTTTTATCAGTTTTATTTAGTGTGAATATTTCTAATTTCTATGTTCCTAAGTTCTCTTCAATTTATGTCTTATAAAATCAGCATCATACCTTCATTAATTATCTATACATTCATTAGTTTATCTCCATGGAATACACAACATCAATATACACTTTTTAAAAAAAAAATTTTTTTTTGGAAATTAAAACAAAGATTAACTTTAACGTTAAAAGTGTATTTATAAATGTATTCAAATTTTATTTTTAAAAAAATCATCTTCGAATTTGAAACTTTGATATCTTCCTTCACACTGAAACATTATTCTTTGAGTGTGAAAATCATGCAACAAAACTTTTTGAAGAGGATATGAACGAAAATTGTACATGCTCAAATCATAATGTTTTTAAACGTTACAATATATTTTTCTAATAAATAGCTATTTATTATTGAATTATTCAAACGACGTAAATAATATTTTCATTACATATTACAGTGCGGCACTGTAAACGTTTTCATTAATTAGAATAAAATTTTATTTTATCAATACCTAAACACAAATTTTAGAAGTATATGTGTCGGCGTTTAATACCTAATACTAAGTTTTATCACTAATTCTGTTTATTATACCTGGATAAAGACTAAGTAATTCTTATAAAATTCAGCTTTTATTTATTTATATGCTTCTTTCCTTTATTTTAATTTTTTTTCTGCTTTTTATTTATTTGTCTTTCAAATATAAGTTAAGGATAATTCGCGATCGTAACGAACTATAGGGGGGGGGGGGGTTATCTGTGGCGAATTCCTGCGATTTCCATGTGTACAGTCATTCAGTTGCTCTGGAGACGTTTTTAACGTAGCGCGTTGCATTGTAACGTTTCTTCTTTATTGTGGCTTATTAATTTTAAAAAAGAAAAACTTTGATATTCTTTCTTCTGAAAGCGAAAACAAAATGGTATCTCTTTTTTTTTAAAGAAGGAACATCCAAAATACAACGGAAAAACATTTGTAAATAAACAGGAAAAAAATTTATCTTTTCACTTGAGTTAAAACCTAATGCCTGCGAAATCGTATTACTAATTTAAATGAGATAACATTAAAGGCCTATTTAAACTTTGCATTCCATAATTCTATGAATCATATTACTTCAAAAAGTACACGTAAGCCCATAATTTAATATCGTTTAATTTTGCAAAAAAAGTTTTTTGACAACAATTTTTATTAACGAATTTTAAGTTTCAATGAAAATCATTATTTATAAACAAAATGCAAAATAAAAAATTCTTACGAAAAAAACGATTCTAAAAATTCCTCATATTAAAAAAGAAAATTCATGTTTTTTTTAAAATTCTTATTTGGACATAGAAAACCATTCTATGGAGAACTATCTTGAAATTGGAAAAAAAATCATTTACAAGTAAATTTTTCATTATAAAAATCATAACACTTACCTGATTTATAAATCCGGAGAATTCCAAAATGATATGTTCTTTATTTGAAAATTTTATTCTCAATTATATATACATAGATTATCAATTCATTACTTTAAGATGACGTACCACACAATAAAATTTTATTGACTGAATTCTAGTTGACTCTAATTAACTGAATTCTAGTTGAAATTTATCATTAAAAATTAAAAATTACTGACCATGAAAATGATGAAATTTATTAATATTAAACACAAATGATACTATTTCAAGTAATTCGCATGATTCTTTACTGTTGTTTTTCGAATTATACAAAGACAGAAATATATACTATTCTATAAAGAAGAAGAATATTATATAACTATTACAGCTTCGTACTTTCTGAAATCACATTTATTCCTTAGAGTGAAGTAAGCAATGTTGACTCCACTTCAATTTGTAATGAGTTGAAGACAAAAAAAAGTAATTGTTATAATATTCAGCATCGTAACATTTATTTATAAGCTTCTTTCCTGTATTTTTAAAATTTTTCGTATACTTTTCATTTATTTGTCTTTCAAATATAAGTTTAAATAAATACTTCTTCATAAAACTATTTTGATGAAAGATTATCGTCTGCCTTGCTTTTAAGTTACATTTCTAAATAAAAATAAGCTCAAACGATTATTTTCTTTATCCAAAGTTAATTAAAAAGAAAAAGACATTTAACAACATTATTTCTTATCCAAATATGTTACTTCAGTTTTTTTTATTTAATATAATTTATAAAAATTAAATTATTTCTAAGACTTATAAAATATAATTTTGCTTGAATTTCTAATCCAACTGCAATCAATATTTTTTTAAATATAATAATAATGCTCAAATGTATCTTTCTAAATGTTGTCTATTATCGTCTGACAAACAGAAATTAATCTTGTCAGAAAGCAAATGATATTTCACAGTATGAAGTTGTTCTAAATGTCGATAGTTGGTGTGTTGTATTCACGTGAAAAATGAATGGAACTTGTAAAATTAATAAATTGCCTTGTAGCAGTAATTGGGAATCTTTAAGTGAGTACGAGCGAAAGCGCTATTCAAATGTAATTAGAAACTGGGAAGTTCTAAAATCTTTAGGTATGTTTTATTTTCTTGAAACTTCTTTTAGATGTCAGATAAAATGTTCCATAAAGATGTTAATGTAGGCATAATTGTCTTTCAGATTTAGGTAAATTTTATACAGTAACAATGCATAATTATAGTTATTTTTTAAGCATTATTTAATGTTGATCACTAGTTTTTTTTTTCAAATGATTTTGAATGCAAATTTAAAAAAGGCTTACATTTTGCTTAATCATTTATAATTGTAATAAGAAATTATATTAACGTATTGTTTTTCCATATGTAATATAAATTTATTAGTTTTTTAAAATTTAATTTCTTTGTTTTCTGTGTAGAAAAATTAAGTCTGCGATTAACTGAGATGAAAGTACATGCTTTATTAAATAAAATCAGTTCATGGATGATTATGATATGCTATATATGATTATGCTTTTGTTATAGAGGTTAAATATAATACAGTCCCTGGCTAAATTATTCGATGCACTATAAGATTCCTCAAGATTCTATGAAAAATCTTAATTATCTGGTGATACTATACGTTCTATTGTTTTCAAGCGACTGAAAATGGTTTCCACTTGTTTACTTTCGTGATTCTAAACACTTTAACTCAAGACGATAGAACAGTAATTCTCAACCTTTTTTGGGGGGCGGCACACTTTTAACAATTTCGAAATTTGATGGCACACAGTGAAAAAAATTAGTTTAAAAGTTGTTTACTCACCTATAATACACTGTGTTAAATAGTTTGTGATAATAATTTTGAATGTAATAATATGTACTATATGAATAAAATAATATGTACTACAAAAGCACGTTTATTAAGGGATTAATTATTTCTTTCGACTAATTTTTCATCAGTTAGTAGCAGTGGAGCCCCTAAATTCATAGTATAGGAGCCTTATAAGTAACAGTTAATTTTTTTTTCGCTAGTTAATAATTGTTAGCTTGTTTTCTATAGCTATTAACTGTTATTTTACTGTGATTTTTTGTCAGCTAGTTTTTTTGCTAATTATTAATTGTTAACTTATTGTTTTGTTAGTTATCCTTTGTTAATTTGTTTTTATAACTTTTAATTGCATGGTTTACTTTAATGATTAGCTTTTACTTTAGTTTAAAAGTCAATATTTAGCTTGCTTTCCTTTGTTTATTAATAATTTTAATAATCATTAAATTTCCTACTTATTTCAAAATTTTTTTAAATTGTCAAAGACAATTTAAAAACTTCCTTCTTATTTTAAATTATTTTGAGATTGTCAAAGACAAGACAGTTGCCGACGAAGATGTTCACACTGTTAAAGCATGGAAAAATTATGGAATGTGTAGATATATATAATATTTTATATATATACACTTCTCTTCAATTTAAACTATGCTCGAAGTAAAAAAAAGCATTATAATTTTTATTATATCATTTCTAATAATTGGCGGCACACAAAAGTGTCGCGTCACAGTGGTTGAGAATTACTGCGATAGAAATAAATACAAATCGGAAGAAAAAAAAATCTACTGCATAAAAATATATTAATATAATACCTGATGCAATAAATATTCTACATTTATATAATATATCGTCTAATCTAACCTATCGTCAAATTTCGATTATATATTGTCTAATTTAATCAATTAATACATGAACGTAAGCAAGCGCAAACCGGTTTCAGTCGCGTAAAAACAATAAAGCTGTATAGTATCACCTGATAATTAAGATTTTACATAGAATCTTATTGTGAGTAATTTGTAGTAATTTGGCTGCCAGGAACTGTGCATGTTAAACATTTATGTCTTTGAAAATTTAGTTTTTACCGGTAACGCATTAAAAATTAGGGACTACATATATGAATAGTTTTAACAAGAGAATTAGAATATGAATTCAATTGATGTATTTTCAAATTATTCTTTTGGTATAGAAATATCAGGTAGGTTTGAGCTTGGGTGACGTTTAAATAATTTTGTTTGTTTTATGCGTTAACAGGTTGCACCTGTACTTCAATTCCCATGGAATAATCTCTTATCGAAACTCATGGGTGCCATTTTTATTTCAAATATTCATTTTGATGCAAAATAATTTTCGGCATTTTTATTTCAAAATGATTTTATCACTAAGTAATTTGTGGAAATCTATTATTTTACCTTCTAAAGTATTTTTCGATAAGAATATAGCAGTAATTTATATTTATTTTGAAAGGTTATATCTTTAATGTAATAATGCTAGCAGCTATTTATATGATAAGGAGAAAAAAATATGTGATCTTTTGTATAATCCAAAAAATGAACGGTACTTAATTCCATTTAAAACGTGGCAGGGTAATCATTAAAATAATTGAGAGAAATTTTATCATAAGAATTTAGTTATTTTATAGAGTTAGACTTTTTTATACTCTTAATAATGAAACATTTATTTGTATTTGTTTGAATTAAAAAATTATTTCAAATATTCTTTTCTTCAAAATTTTCAACTAGCATTAGCTTGAAATGAAGAATAAGTAAATTTCTGGAGAAAAAACAAAAGTATTTCATAAAAATTATTGAAATTTACTAATACATCTTATTTGCAAAGATACATTGCTTTTTATTTATTCTTAAATATAACCCTAGATAGTTTTCTTTAAGTTAAATACTAAAATATATCGGAAACAATGATTTTTTAAAAAACTTTTTGTTAAATTGGAACTTAATTTAGAATAATTTTCTGAAACTTACTGGGCGGAGAAAATTTTTTTAAACAAACTTTATCTTTCACATTTACTGCTAAAAGTTATAGAAGCTTTTAAACTAAGAAAAAAAAAAGTAATTTTATCAAATATTACATTCTTTTTAAGGTATTATATTCTTTCTAAATTTTTAAAGTCATAAGATTTTGAAAGTGTCTATGTGTTTTTATTGTATTTAAATTCCGAATTTTTAGTATCTAAAGACATATAATTATAGTGAAGTATAATTTTGTATTGGAATTGTGACGAAAATAATTGTTTACATGCAGAAAATGTTAACGTTATAGGGCATGATGACGATGCAACTCTTGTTTTACTAATTTTGTTATTCTGAACAAACTTAATTTTAGGGGTTGCTTCAAAACTTCCTAAATTTCTGGATCCCGATGAAAAAGCTCCTTCAAAAGTAAAAAAATTTCCAAGAAATCAAAGTATTCCTAAAGATCAACAAAATGGTAAGTTGTTGAACTAATCACCATAGTTTTACAATTTCAAATGCTAGTTTTGCTACTTTTAAGCTATGTTTATTAAAAAAATATTAGTGTTTTTTTATTCTCCATAACTTTAAATTTTATCCTCGCGAATTCGATATTTCTTATAATTAATGTTAGATTCTTTTCAATAATTATTTATTTTGTGCCTCTTGGTTAACTAAAATAATTTTGAAACTGAGATTTATCGTAGTACTGCATTGTATTTAGATAAAGCGTATTTTTAAAATTTATAATTTCTTTCTAAATAATTATAAAATTTATTCATTATCGTAATTAAATTGGGCATAATATAACAACGTACATGTTTATTCCCTCTTTAGGTGAAATTTAACATTTATAATATTTATATTATTTTACAATTCATATTTCATATTCATTCAATGACAATTCATCTTTTTTTTAATCTTATTATGACTTGAGACAGTAAAATAGAAATTCGATATTGTAATATAATTTTTGCAATATTCCTTTATACTTCAGTAATGAAGAGGTACAGAATGATGAGTATTTCCCTTTTTTTGGAGGAGATAAGGGGTTTGAAGATAAAAAAAATATTAGTAATACTTGATACCTTTTTCTATGCTCACGAAAAACTACAGGCGAATTTTGAATGTTCTTAAATTTTTGCTCAGCGAAATTAGTAAAATACAGATTTTAGAGTAAAGTATAATTATTTTACTTATTCTAAGAATGATTCATTCATTTATTGCATGATAGAAAATTTAACATATGAAGCTATCATTGTGAATTTTCAAAAGAGAAATTCATTTTCTTTACGAATAGTGCGCAACCATTAAATGACTTTGCACCCGGACTGACTTATACATTTTTAATGCCCTGTGTAGTTTTTATCATGAAATTAAATTTTTTAATTTCTGCTTTTAATTTTCGTCGTATGACATTCATTAAAACTTTTATTAGCAATAAAAAATTTCAATATCCGCGAAAAGATTAACAATCGAAGAAATTGTTAATAAATAATCAGTAAAAACTTTTTCAAAACTACGGTTGACTGTTTAAAAGCAATAGTTTTAAGTTTCAAATACAAGAAACAATAAATTTGTCAGCAAAAAAAAACCTTCATCAACTTATTTTAAATGATAATAAAATTTTGTTTCAATTATTATTTTTTTATTATATTCTTTCAATACTTAATTTATAAAGTATTGAGAATTTAAATTTTATCTAGTGATGTTACATAAAAAGAGGAGTGATCCGCCAAATTATCTATTTTTTCTATAATTGGTAAAGTGACTTAGAATTTTAAAAGCCACATTCATCATTAGTAGTATTATTAGCACTAGATACAAAATCTTTCGGAATTTCATATGTTTTCAAGAATTTAGGGATTTATCTACATTAACTGCATTTTCATTATTTTTTTAGTACATTTCTGCAATTCAAATTAGATTTGTTCTTTTGTTTAATATTATTACTTTATAGCAAAGTTGAATATTTTAATGGGTCAAATTCTTTACTTTTTCTGATAGTCAAAGACTTCGAGAAAACGAATTTCAAGTTATTTGCTGTGCCTGAATCTCAAAAGAGAAAGGAAAAGATTTGTCAAAAGAGTAAGAATAATAATTGTTTCACTATTTTGCTTTAGAAAAAATTTCAATATTAAGTATAATAGAACTATTGTGCAAAAGTTACTTGAAAATATATTTTTCCTTTCAGAAATTATAAAGAAACGTCGTAAAAAGTTAAGACAAGATGAAAATGTAAGTTTTGAAATTCTAATAGGAATTTTTAGCAAACATTTCTGTAACAATTAGCACAAATATCAGATACTTTATTACAAAAATATTTTTAAATTTTGCAAAATAATTTTTGTTTTTGGGAATATTATTTAGCACCAATTATTTAGTATATTCAAAGTGAATCTCCCAAAGGCTATTCAGGGTGTTCATAGTTTTAGAGCATTGTACAGTCCGCAAAAAAAAAAAAAACGAATCACCCTGAATAACTTTCGTTCTAATGATCGGATTTTCACGAACTAAGTGTCAATCTTAATGCTTCTTGGGGGTGACCTCAAATATGCTAATTAATTAGTGCTAACTATTAATTAAGTTACGAAATCAGACACAAAAACGTACTTTCTCTGAATAAACATATATTTTTTTTTACATATTTGGAATCTAGACACTTGAATTAGGGGGGGTAGACAAAATTTTAAAACAATTGGGTCGTAAATTGGGTTGCAATAAAGGTTTATATATTTGGCGATAGTCCAGAAAACCGCCAAAAAAAGTCGCCTGCGCAAATAAATATTTTAAGATAACCCATTGACT